TATTATGATTTCCTGTATGCCTATTTGTGTGTTTCTGTAGAAGAACTATTGAGACAAAGCTTACTTGAAGAAATGGCCTTTCTATTTAACTATGGAAACTGAGTAATCCCTGGTGATTATTATCTCCTGTGGTTGAGTTCCAGAGTATGGCTCCAGCAATTGTGGAAGCTATGTCTTCTTCACCCACAGTAGTCTTCTAGTGATCTGGATTTTGTGGTTGGATGTGACTCTCTTGGGAGGGTATGATCACAGCAGGAGAAGAGATCACTTTAGTAATTAAAGTCCAACAGTATGTGTCATCATACTGTGATTTTGATGACTAAACCTCAGTATCTCAGTTTACATCCCATGTATAAGGCTAGTCTTAACTATTTTTTCCCCACTTGACAAAATACATTTTGCTGCACTTCCTTCACATTCACATAGCTATCTGTGCTGCCCACACAAAAGCCACACTAGAGTGAATAGCTACTAATCAACTCTAGAATTTTTGCTTTCCTGAGCAGCTACTCAGTGGGTGCGTCTACACGAGATGCCTTAATGCATGGTGGTCTATTATACTGTGCATTAGCATGTCGTGGCAAAAACGAATGCTAATGTGCTAATGCACATTAGAATTTGTCTAGTGTGTATTAAATATTATAGAAAACCCATTCGCATTTGCTACTGTGCATTAGTGCAGGCTAATGTGCATTTATGTAGTACCTCATATTAGAGATAGTAAACAATGTGCAGTAGCAAAGGCACATTAATGAACATGTAGACGTACCCAGTTGGTTCACAGGAAGGTCTAAACCTGAGCATGGACTGATTCTAGTAAAGAATTTATAAGCAACTTACAGGCAGAAATTTGTTTACCAAAAATATGCATCAAGTATGTTGAATAACAAGCCCATTGGTACAAACTGCCGTTTGTTTACAGATTGTTTCTGAATATAACATTTGAACCAGATACAAGTTATTTATTCAGCTCGAGTCATAGTTTATTCTGTCTAGTTATCATCATGACAAATTATTAGGCAACAGGTTTTTTTAGTCTGTGACTGACTATTTGAAATAGAAAAGATGCCCTGAGTTTGTGACATGGCATCACAAGAGTTAATCTTGGTTTGCACTAATTTGATACACAGCAGTCTTACTTCTCAATACAGTAAGGTTTTTTTTTTTAAGATTATATTTCTTGAGGATGTGTAGGTTGCAGTATTTAGTTCTAGAACAAGTTGCTGTTTACCTCAGATAGAAACATGATATTATGATTCCTAAGGAAAAGCTGGTTTTATTTGTAACTAGTTAATACAAATAAAAATCCACAATTATGAGTGCATGACTACTGAAAAGCATATTTATAAATATGTCTTTACAGCCCTCTTTTATTGCATTCATATCCTTTTGTGTTTGTGCCCCCCAGTGTTCTAGAAAATGAGGTCCTTTCCTTCCCCATGTCCTCGTGACGAGGTATTTAGCAGAATTTGTAGATTTGTTGGAATCTAGCAGGGTGGCTGTGAGTGCTTCTGCTATGGCCTTGGACTCTTGATTTCTGGGCTTCCAGACTTTTGCCCCAGCGTCCATGATACCAGAGCAGAGTGCAGATGAGGTTACTGGTGGAAATGTTTATAGAAAGAGGAAATCTTTGTGAATGTTTAAGAATATCTAAAGATTTTGGATTTTTAATTGGAGAATTTGAACCAAAATACGATTCTAAGAGTTATGCTTAGTCAGTCATACAACAGAAAGATACCAGGTGACCCACATATCTAGTCAACACCGGCAAAAGTTATGTTGGTGGGACAGGTGGAGTGTTGTTGTAGCTGTGATGGTCTAGGAAATGTACAAGAGATAAGGATTTTTTGGAAGAGCTGTTGAGCAAGCTTTCAGTTATTAACTGTCCACTGGGCATCAGGTGCCATTGTCTTAGGCCTGAGAAAGGATACTTGATGCTTGAAATCTTGTCCAACAGCTCTCTGAACTATACAGTTGGTCCAATAAATTATTTCAGAAAAAATTCTTGCCTCTCAAACATTATGTGTGGAATCTGAACACTTTCAATGAACTTCTCATGAAAAACTGCAGGAGAATTTCTGAAGGAAAGTATCTTCATGGTCCTCTAGGTTTTATTTGGCAATCAGGTTTCAACATATAGTTGGGACTATGAGTGATTAGGTAGAAATCAAGAGAGCAATAGTAACCAGTGAAGACCATCAGCTACAAAATTAAAGAATTCGAATAAGATCCAGAATTTCTACTGGTTTGAAGAGGAAGGAGCATGGCATAGGGAGTACCTGGACTTGAAAAATCTGTATCCTAGAGATGTAGGCCATAACAACATTAATGCCAGCCACTTCACTACCACTACTATTACTGAGATTAATAGAAGAAATAGTTAAATATATTACAAGCTCTCCTGGTCTAATTCTTCAAGAATGTGAAATACATTTCATAGCTAAACAGAAACAACATTTACTGTGAAAAGAGTCAACGGTCAAAATTGATTCTTCTGCCAACGGTCAAAATTGATTCTTCTGAAAACAATTGCGTGTGGTGGGTGGGATACATGGGAGCTGTTTGTATGCTGAGAGATGCAGCCTTTTACTAAGTGGGGAAGAAGCAGGGAGAGCAACAAAGCAAATAAGTGAAATGGATCCTTCCAATTAGAGTGGCAATGTTTAAGGAAACAAAGTGGTCAGAGTAAAACAAAAGATAAAAAGAAAGGAGAGATGAAACAGGTAAGATAAAGAGTGGCAGCAACTGGACAGTTTGAAGGGACAGGTTGATGGTGGTCATTTGCCAGCATGTAGCACTCATGTGTAAGGAGGATAGACTAGCCAAGGTGGAAAAAAATACTGTCACAAGTTTGAAACAGATCTGAAAGCTTCAGGAGCAATGACCTATTTGCCACATTAAAATTGACCCATAATCAGAACTGCAATTAAGCTTCAATATATTTTATAAAAAATAGTACTTAGTTTACTTTCACATAAGTGAAGAGATACAATTGCACAATGGTGGTTACAATGGTAGAAATACATTTAATCGATAAAATGTTTGCGAGAGATTTAAAAACTTACTGTACAGCACCGCATCTGAAACTGTATGATGGCAAAATGAATCATATTCCATTTCTAAGTAAATCAAATCCCTACATCTTTCAGTTTGGAACAAAAAATAAAAATGATGCATTTTATGCTTCAGATTGCTACCAAAATATTTCCTGATGTTGAGCTATAAACAGATTTTAAAAAATGATAAAAGATAAAAAAAAGACATTCATGCATTTAAGCCACCATTCATCTCAGACTCTAATGTAAGGCATATCATAATTTTTTTAGAATTATGTCTTTAGCCACATCCACATAAACCTTCTTTAGTGCTTTTTATGACAAGGTCTTGACAGACCTTGCAGATTCATGAGTAAGGATGCTTGTATTTCCAACAGGCCATTTTTGACAGGCCTAGCCATATTTGGAACACATCATACAGTAGAAAATGCTTATTTTCTTAATGAAAAAGAACATAAAGAAAAAGAAATCCTGAAGAATGCTTTAGAGTTTATCACAAATGACACTGTTTTGAAGTGGGAAAAAAATAAAGTTTATGTGTCATCTTCAGTCTTAATGATGTGAAAAAGGGTGACATTGAATAGGACCTGATGTCCATTGTTCCAGGCATAGAGAGCTCTGTCTCTAGCGTTGTAGTCAAGCATGGATATATGGAAGTACTGATTATGGAACGGAATGTCTGTATACTCATAAGTGGAGGTTTTTGTGGAATAAGAGTAGTAGACCTTCGCTCCTGTCAAATGAGAGTTGGTAACATACAAAGTTCCACAGATCATGAAGGATTCCCCAGCACTTCTCTTTGGATAGCCTGTGTTCCAGCTCTTCATCACTTCTAATGTATCCTGGTTTAGCTGGCTAATGACTATGTTGCCTGCATTCTGGTTGGTGGCATACACAGCCCAGAGACCAATTTCATCTGCCATGAGGTCAATATCAGAGAAGCCACCCCAAGTATAGGGATACACATTGTGAAAGCCAGCATACTCCAGGCTACGCTGTGCTAGCACCCGACCTGTGTCAAAGCTGTATTTTATGATAATATTGCTCTGATACTTGTTGAAATAGAGGGAGCCATTGTAGACAACATGATTGGTTCCAGCCCACTTAAAAGGAAGGTTGTATGTCCTTGATTCAGCCCCACTGACAAAGTCTGCCATTGATTTGTATTCACGGACAATTTTATTATTTGTATAACTGTCCATGTACCATACCTGAAAGAAAAATAAAGAATAGAGCGTAAACTCCTAAAATAGAAACATTAGAAGATCATGCATTGAACATACATTTTAAAAAAAGTTCCAAAAATCCTATGGCAGTATCAGTTACCAGACTTGCTCATAAAGCCTACAGAAATACAGGAAGTGTCCATATATGTTTCCTTTTGCAATGAAGCTAGAATTCTTGAGTTAAACTCTTTTAATAGGGAATGACCTAGCAGTTTTGAGAAATTTGCTTTCAAATTGTTCTGATTGAATGAGTTTCTGGCTTAGGGGGCTCATTAGTATTGTCATAATGTGCCCAGATCCTGGAAATCCCAGAGGTGGTGGGAAAGTGGAGTGGGAAGTAACTTCTGTGTTCTGCAGAATTAAACCTAGTTGAAACTTCATTCAATACATAACTGTCCTCTTTGGGAAATGAAACATGCCCAGAAAATGTTGGTTTTTTGTTTTTTTTTCAGATGTTTCCATGTTTTTGGTTCCCATATATCATTTCCTCCCAGTTTTTCGCATCTTTTTATTTTTATTTTACCCCCACTTATCTCCCTTTGATGCTCTTTGACCCTGAAAGGGGTAAAAAATAAAACATAAATAAAAACAGTAGCTTTTTTGTTTGTTTTCCTTGAAACAAAGTTTTCAAGAAACGTAATTAGGAAATTCTAATAAACTGAAACTGAAATAAAATATAGCCAAGTGCCATTCAAATATTAAGCTTATCAGGTAAGGACTTGGATGAATCTCATTTACAGCCAAATACTAGAAACATCTGTACCTTTACATATATAGGTAAATTCACTAACTTCTGTGGGACTGATTATACAGCTACCGTTTCTTATATAAGTGTTTAGATGAACTGGGTCCTTATAAAAATTACCATTATAGAGGATATAATGGAAAATAATAACTTTTTTTCAATGGAAAAACATGCATTCTTTTTGACGTAGTTTAAAATTAATGAAGTTGCCTACTGAATTTTTTTTCTGAGGATGATTTCAGGAAAATATGTTCTTCTTTTTGTCTTTCTTTTTCTGAAATACGTCAAAATATGAAAATGCAGAGAACACATTTAAATAAATGCTAGCATGTAAAACCTGCAGTGCAATGCCTCTTTGTAAAGATTCAAACTACAAATAAAACACTCAGATTTATACAAGAGGCTCAACATACTCTGTTATTTTTCTCTGATGCTAAAGGGTCTGTCATCCAGGCTCCAAATCGGGTTCCAGATATCTTGACTGTAACAGGGCCTGTAATTTTCATCAATTTCCCACATGCTAGAAAATTAGAAAAACAAAGGTGGTCAGTGAAATCTTTTTAAAATTCCAACACGGACCAATCATATTCTGATTAATCTCAAAGTGAGTCACCTTTAGTAAAAGACCAAGAATTGTAAGCAAACAATGGCTTCACGGTGAATAGGGGCTGGGTTAGAACAAAAATGTCATCCTCTGAGTCTGAATGCTTAAATTTTCACTATTCAAAAGGAATACAAATATAATTTGGTAAAAGTAAATACAGATTTTGAAATATAGTTATGTTTAAACAAAATAAGATTAAGTAAATACAGGGGCTGAACTCAGAGGCCCAGGGAACCACTTCTTGTACTATGTTCCTGTAGTAAACTGTGTTCATTGCAACACTTACATAATGGAAAAACTAAAGAAGAAGAAAGCTATTTTTTATCTCCAGAGTGAGCAATCTTTCATTATAATTCCATTAATTTCAACCTAATAAACCATGTTTGGATTATGTAAACACCAAGGTGCAGAGCCACAAATTGGATACTCTAACTCCCATTTGGTCTAAATTTTTTTTGTGAATCTGGGCCTAATAAACGTTGCTGGTCATGTATACCAACTGATCTCTCCCAGTGCAACTCAGCATTCAGGCTTCTGGAATGGACTGAAAAACACAAAGCCAAAATATAACACACTACCCCTACAGAAAGATGTGACTTAGTCAACTTACACAACTTAGATCATACCTGATAAATATATATTTTTTTATTTCTCTACCTAGTCAACTTAGCTAGTATATCCTTTAGAGGAGTTTTGGGAGTAATAATTCATTAGAATATAGCAAAATTGAATATGCTGTAAATAACTGACATAAAGGGATTTGGGGTTATAAAACTGTCATAAACGTAAATGTAAAGTATTTAACAGAAATCACCATTGGACCTTAGTAAACCCTACACACCAGTTACTGGTAAGAAAGCAAATACATAAATTATCCTGGAACTGTGGCAACTTCAGGTGACTTCTAATCTACCCTTGTTAGAGTGTCTGAGAGGAAACAATGATCTTGAATACTGACCTTTCTGACAATCTAAAAAAATCTATATTTTAGGGGACATTAGTAACATGCCTATTACCAACAAGCCACATGGGAAATTTCCTTTATTGTGAAAGAACTTAATATGAGAGAATGGTATAGAAAATTAAATCAGCTAGCAAGTTAAAGTGGGGCGGGGGGAAGTGGGGGAGATATTCCAGATGAATTAACGTTTTGGAACATTTCATGATTGTTGTTGTTCCTGAGAAATATATGCTTCATCCTTACTTTACTCCTTTTTTATATAATCAAGCTGGAAAAGAAAGAGGAAAATAGCATCTGTAAATTAAAAGGTAAGGTATATATATTTCAAAATTTTATACTTTATTTCACTGACAAAGAACACACCGTACTGTAGATGCCTATTTTGTTCAATTATAATAGGGCTAATGTTCTGAAGATAAATCAGAAGCTACTGAAGATAATTCAATCCATGGCCAGGGAAAGGAGATATAATGGAAATACCAAATATGAACTGAGGTCTTCATGAACAGTACATGCTCTCTTTGTACTGTGTGGGCTCTCTTCAAAGAGAACTTTTGTGCTAGTGAGGAGTGCGATTGCTAATCATGTTTGTCCTACAAACAAACTGCGGAATCTGTTGAAGGCATATTGAGACTACATATTGGTAAGAAAATAACCCCCTCCCACCCCTCCTTAAATAGCTCCTCTTCTTTAACTGGATATAATTTGTGATCATCTTTCTTTTCAAGATGTATTACTCATTTCATACATGGTTTAAATCCTACCCTCCTAATACAATCTGCAGTTCTCCATTTTGGGAAGTTGAGAAACATACCCCAATCAGGTCAAGTTGCACTTTAATTTTCTTAGATGATCTATCAGCAAATAGTTTTGCCAGGAAAGGATATGTGCTGAACTCATAAACCCTATGAATAGTATTAAAACAATTTTATTTTAGAATAAATGAATGGAAAACATAGAATGCAGAAGGAATCAGACGGTAGTTAATCACTACACACATCATGTTTAGTTGCTGGCCTTTCTTTTTAAGTAAGAGGCAAGATTACAAGGTGAATGAATGAAAAAAACCCACGATTAGTACCTAATTAGCATCCATCAAGAATTGTGTCAAAATTATAACTAAAATATACATTTTATATGAGAAGAACTTTGAGTTTTAAAACACACGATTTAAAAAAAAAAAACTGGTGTGAAAAGTGAAATATAAGATAAACAAAAATTAAGAAGATAAGAAGAAACAAAACACCACCTCCTGCCCTAAAATGTAGCTCTTGAACTTAAAAAGTAGCTGCATGTCAGCCTGCAAGGAATAAGATGCTGTTGGAAAATTACCTTTCAAGAACTATGGTGGGCTATTATCAAAGAAGAGAAAGAGAGTGAATCTCTGTTAGGGCCTTGTTACACCTTACACTGTGAGCTTCACAAATGTTGATTGGTGTTAGTGTTAGCTCAAGTGTGGGGCAATCACACTTCAACCCAGGAGGATTAGGCTGAAGTTGGTTGCATATTCCCACTGCCTTATGCCCGATTCCTTATTCCTTATTCCCAGTTCCAGGTTTGGGAATAAGGAACTGGGAATAAGCAACCAACTTCAGCCTCATGCTCAAAAACCAGGTCCTAATTCAAGACCATATACTTAGTACAGTAGCTGGAGGGGAAGCCTGGAAACCGCCAAACCATGCTTTGGGCTGGACGAGACTGTGGTCTGGGTTCTTTGAGACAGTCCTCCAATGGCATCAACAGGAAGTTTGGGGTGGCTCAAGAAGTATTTTGCCCCATAATCTCATCCTAATCTGACCTTCACTTAGGGCTCTGTACTTGATGCAGAATATTATGTTTCTTATTCTAATATAATAAAAGCCTTTGTCTGTCTGTCCGTAAACCTTTATGAGCACTCTGATTGGTTGTCTTGGCAGCCAGTCACAGTGCTTATTGAAAAAACTGATCAGAGTGCTCTGCACAGACAGACACACATGGCAGATTGCTGCCTTAATAGCAGGGACTGAGGGCCCCCCCCCGGCCCTGCTCCTTGGAGGCAGAGGGGGACGGCAGGGACAGACTGGCATGGCAGAGCAACATGGAGGGGATAAAGGGGAGGATACTGGCTTCACCACCCAGCTCCGGCCTCACCGCCACAACCAAGAGGTGGTCTTACCCTCCACCCCCCCGCCCTCATCCCTGCTCTTTGAAGGCGGCGGCAGCACTGGCCAAGTTTGTCCCCACTGTCATGGTGGAGCTCTGTCCCTGGCAGAGAGGGACACAGGAGATGGTGGGGACGGACTGGTATGGCAGAGCACCATCATGATAGAGGGGACAGGGGGTGGGGGCTGCAGCACTGAGGCAGCATGCTGGAGCAGCAGGGGCATGTGGCAGGGCTGGGGGCGGAGGGGCAGGCCATCACTTGGATGTGGTGGTGGTGCAGGGTGCTAGTGGTGGGGATGACAGGGTAACCTTCCCCCCCACCCCCACTCCTGGCAGGCAGCGGCAGCGTAGGGTTGTGGGTAGCATTGCTCTGTTCCCTGCCCACCACCACCGTCATTCTTGATGGGTAATTCACCAGTTAATTAGTAAATATGCATAGCTAATGAAATTCTCTTTAGGATGCATAATTCATTAATAACAAGCTTTTATTGGATCTAGATTAGCTTTAAAAAGAAACTGGGAACTGGGAATAAGCAACCAACTTCAGCCTCATCCCTGCAGGGGCCCTGAGGACTGAAAGGTAAGAATCCTCCCCTCCCCCTAATCTGTGCTTTGCCCCTGCCCTCTGGGGCTCCCCTTTTTCTCTCCCCCACCATCTTCCCTGCCCCCAAGGCATTGCCCTGCTGCCCTCCCCTATTTACTTGTGGCAGCCTGCACTGTCTGTCCCAAAATGCAGGGAGGGAAGGTTTACCCAGCCTGCTCATCTGCTACTGGCCTGCTGCTCTTTGTGCTAAGTCTGTCCCAGAGAACAGCAGCAGCAGTTAGGTTAACTGATTGTGGGTCTGGGGAATATGTGGGTCATCAATGATTTGCATCCAAGTAAGATGCTGTAGTTTCACAAAGTGACTATTGCAAGATGAATTTGCTAGACAGCCAACTAATAATACTGAAAAATAGACAGAAGCTCTGGTGTCAGTATAATTCAATGGAGATTGATTCCATAAACTGGGGGAGCTGTCTCCCTTTGTGTTGCCCCTGTAGCAAATCTCAGCTTTCCTCATTCTGTTACTGATAATAAAAGTTACAGAATGTGTTTCCATGTGAATCATTTTGTGTAGGCAGTTTGATAAATCAATTCTTACTATTTAGAACCAATTAGGTACATTATTTACAACCTTTACCCACCATAGCCCATTTTCACTTTAGAGATAACTTTGGATTCAGAGCAGCAGTCTCCAATATGGTGCACTGTAAATCTATTTTATCTCTAATGCAAATCTTGATGTAATAATATACAAATCACAGTGCTGGGTAAATGCTCTGCTTGATGATTTGCAAGAAGAGTGAAGCCACCAGTGCCAATGAATACTTCAGTAATGACTTCAGTCTTTTCGCATCCTTTAGAACAAACTCTTTCAGCATAACCTCCTCCCAGTTGAGAGACACTATACAGGGAAACAGGGCTAGAAGGGATGTCTTGGGTCACTGGTTCTATTCCTTACTCTTACAGCAACTGTATAACATATAATCTGCTTCATAAAATATTCAAAATTCATCTTTAAGATGAGTGAGGTTCCCCCACCATCACTCCAATTGGAAATTGTTTTCATTCTTTTTTTAGCAGTCAATTCTCAACCCATTGCCTATATTACACATCTCCACACGTGACCCTTACTCATGTGAACATGAAGGGTATGGCATGTACATTTAGAGCTTTCAGGAGAAGAACATTTAAAAACATCAGTAGAAGCTAAACTCTAATTGTTACATGTGGACAAGCTGGGAAGAATAAAAACTTAGGAAAACTACTCCA